CTCTGACCTGTTATGTTTTTTCTAGGGTGAACCTGGTGCAGAAGGGGCTCCTGGAAAAACTGGTCCAGTTGGTCCACAGGGACCTGCTGGAAAACCTGGCCCAGAGGGTCTCCGGGGCATTCCTGGTCCTGTGGTAAGTAATGGAAACACATAATAATATTTTAAATATCTCATTTCTTCTATATACTCTGGTAAAGCAAACTTTTTTGTTTTCTCTAGGGAGAACAAGGCCTACCTGGAGCGCCAGGTCAGGATGGCCCTCCCGGACCTCTGGTGAGTACCCTTCCTTTCAGAGCCAGAACAGAAAAAGCACTATACTAATAAAACTTACCATTAATGTGCCTGTGCATTTACAGGAAAATGAAAAGTCAGTTCTTAGCACAAAGTTGCTACTATTCTGTGCTGGTAAAATCTGATACACAACTGCCTTCAAATTTTATTGCTCTACTTCAGTTGGCAACTGTGCTGAATGCTGCTGAGTCAGACCAGGTAGAAAGTGGAATAAGGCAGTGTGAAACCAAATTCTGAGTAGAATTAAAAATCAAAATAAAATGAAAGAAGCTTAAAATAAAAAAATCTACTTCTGTCCCCTCATCAGCAAAGCAGTGGTAAATTTTGTACATCCATTCATTTTAATGACTGCTAGTTTTAGGAAATCGTTGTTCATAGGGCAAAAGTTTAGATCATATCTGTTCCTTAGAGAAAGAAAAATATAAATCAGAAGTAGGGCCAAAAAGACACTTCTACTAAAGAAGAAATTAAAGTCTGAACTACATGGCCAGCAGGTTAATTCTTCACATGTCAAGCAAAGGTGCTTCAATTTAGTAAAAAGATCTCATATCCCTCGCTCTCCAAAGTCACTGAGGTACAGTTCACCTCTATTATCAAAGTTGAGTCCCAAATTGGGAATAAAAAGCTTTGAAACAAAATATAGACTGTTAAGAGTTTGATGGAAAAAAATATACAAGTGTTACCACATACTAAATAAAATCTGCTCTGTTATTTCAGCCAGAATGTATTGGATTACTTTAGGAGAACAGGGCAATAAGGGCCTATCCTCTACTTCAGAAATGATGTGGCTCTTAAGGGGGAAAAGGAAAGCTGTGAGTAGGAAATGGGAAGGAAATCCTCTGTTCCTTCTCCTGTATGGACTTAGACGATACAGATCCTTACGTAGCCTTAATACTGAAATGTTTTACACTTAAGCTACACACCTGAAGTCAAAATCTTTCCAAGAGCATTCCTGCCTCTCCAGTGAGAACTCAGGATCTGAACATCAGCTACAAAATTTTCATATCAGACTCCTACAGTATATAAAAATCGAACAATAACAAAAAAAGAAGTGGAATTTAAACTGAAATGCTGCATAAATCAAGCCTTTTACCATAAAACTGTCTTTCACTTTCATGTGCATATTTGAACGTGAGCAATTGCCTTTTCTTTCATTGACTGAGTAACTTTTATGGGTGAAAGTATTTGAATAACTACTTACATTTCCGAAAACGTTCAAAACATGCAACCTCTTAACCTATAAGCAAAGAGTTTCAGAACATATATTTTTATGCCCCCCACACCAGAAGGATTTTTTCCATATGCATTGATAACTTCTGTGTATATAATTATAGGTGATATTACAATGGCACCTACATTTAATTTCATTTTTCTCTGTCCTTTAGAAAACAATAATAAGCAAATAATGTAATGATGAAGCTTTACATTACATATCTTTGTTGCCCTTTGTTTTAACATTCTCATTCTGTCTAAAGTCTCATGGATAACATATTGTTTATAAGTCAGAGGTAGGGAACAATATGAGAAGCTGAAAGGAAAAGGATTCCTTGTGCATCTTCTCTCCAAGAGTTTATAATGGGACCACCACCTCACTTTTTAAATTATGTGGTTAGCTTACAGATAAAATGCGTGGGGTACGAGTCAGGGAACTGAAAACTGATCTCCTCACTTACAATTCTGTGCTGAAATCTAAAAGCCAATTAACAATTATTCAGCAATAACAAGCATCCTTTTCCCACGTCAGTCACTAGAAGCCTCCAAATACATCATCAAAAGATCTCTCTTCCAATATTTGAGAGCTTAAATATTCAATTCAAATCTGAAGCTGAGTATATTAATGAACTATATACTCCCAAATGCACAGGCTTCCTGTCAGCTCAACAAGAACTTTTTTTCAATACATTGCTGCAACTTAATTTTGGATTTTAAGAAAGTAAAGTTTATATGTAAAAGATGCTGAGGTTAGGTCTCCCTCCTTCCCCTCCCATCCTCTGCACCAGATTGCTATCAGGAGAAGAATATGAAAAGCTGATTTGCAGTAGAGCACAACACACTGCAGGTGAAAAGTCTGATTCTGTATTCCAAAAGCTTAAAAATTTCACATTTCTTTCATGAATTATGTATTTGCCTAGGCTTTTGCATCTGGTGATATCCTGAAGTGGAGATGGAAAGCATACGCAGTGAATAACATTTTGTACATGAAGTGTTCTGGCACTGCTGAAACCGTGCCAGGTTGAAAAGGTCACTTATTACTGCCATCCATATCAGAATTTCACAGATGTCCACTGCCACCGGGAGACTTGCAGTGAGGAGAGACTGACTTAGTCTAGCAGCTCTACACCTAATGTGTACATGTTCAGGGTGAGATTAATAGCCCCTGAGAAATTAATGTCTCTTGCATATGCACTGCTTGGCCTGAATTTTTCACCCCACTCTGTACAAATTACTCAAAACCAGTACTGCCATTCCTATGAACATCTGAAGATTTCACAAATCAAGAATTTAGTTGGCCCTCGGCTTCACAGATTTCTAATCATACAACCCTTTCTAGATTTCTAGTTATAAAGAAATTTAAATACCACAGTAGCATCAATTTGCCTTTTAAAACATACATTTCAACTTTATTTTGGGCTATAAATCGCATTCCATCAATCACTACCATCAACCTATGTACTCTGATTAAATAAGTACATAACTGTTACAAAGCACATAAATGCACTTTGATTTGCACTGGCTTTAATAATATTTCAAGAAAACATAATCTGTGCAGTATGTTAAAACTTATTTTAACATTACTTCCCTTGATTTATTTAGGGTCCACCTGGCTTGCCTGGACTGAAAGGAGATCCAGGTTCCAAAGGAGAGAAGGTATGCTTTAGCATTGTTTGTGCCTTTGTAATAGGAAGAAAAAGATTACTGCCTGTGTATTGACCACGTGATCTGTCCTTGCAATGAAAATCCCAAAGATATTGATGTAAAGAGAACTGTCAGTTTTACAAGAACAAAGTAAGTAGAAATAACAAACATTGGAGATTTTTATTTTAAAACAACAAAATATATATATTTAAAAGCTATAATACTTTCTTTTGAAATGATGTATTGAGACATCTGGGGTAGCATTTTCTAATGGAGTCACAAAAATTTATTGATTGCTTGTGAATCAGAGAAAAACTGTAGAGAAAGGGATATGAATATGACTGTACTTTGTGAATTTCAGGGTTTTTTTATCTCCTTGGATCAGCTGTTTATACAGCTATATCACATGTGGAACAAATGTGCAATTCTATGATATGCTTATAGCATATAAATATGAAAATTGGTATGAAATTTGTACCCACAGGTATTGTTATTTCTGTATCAGTCTCAGTAAGGACTATCTTGCACTTGGATCTTTAACTAAATAAGCAGTCACAACTTGCAAATAAAGTTTAAAAGGCCATCTAACAACAACAAATATGCTTTTAGAATAATTTGTTTTCAGGTTTATTGTTGTCAAGCAACAGTGATAGCATGTGAAAGGTCTAATTTACATGTCTGCAAAACACATTTATTCTAATGTATATTGAGTTTTAACTATATTTTCTTCAATCTTGTTTAGGGACATCCTGGTTTGATTGGCCTTATTGGACCTCCAGGAGAGCAGGGTGAAAAGGGTGATAGGGGTCTTCCTGGCCCACAGGGATCTCCTGGAGCCAAGGGTGATGCAGTGAGTACAACACACTTGTGTTTCCATTCAAGTTCCATGCAAGCAAGGAGTACGTATTCCAGGCTTTCTTTTGAAAGACAAAGTTATTATAAACATTTAACACCCAGAGTCTCCTGCCAGAGGTTAAAACTTTCTTAGGCATCGTACAAACACAGTGAAATTAAACAGCTTAAAATGAGATTATAGAATGTTTGAGAAAATGGAAGGAAACACATACACCACATTATACACACATAACACAAGTTAGGGACAAGATAAAACTAGCAGCACCAATCTCATCGTGTTTATTAACTGCATGACTCAAAGTAGCTTCCTTTCTCCTAGTTATTAAGACACTATGTAAAAAGTGAGCTTTCCATACCAGTTTGAAGAGGAACACAGTTGTGACTGCAGTGTAAGAACAACTACAAGCAACTCAACTGTCAGATAATATTTTAAATTTGCAAACTCTTTTGGCCCCTAGCAAATGGCCTAAATCAAAACTCATCAGAGTTGGACATTTAGTGGGACTACCTTTTTCATAGGTATGCATTTTTAATCCACTGCAGTATGTAGGATACTTTCGTTCTGTGCTTATTCTCTTATTCATTTTTAGGGAATTTCTGGTCCTGCTGGTCCACTTGGACCCCCTGGTCCTCCTGGTTTACCTGTAAGTAATTTTGTCCAGTCCTCCTGCTCAAAACACTTCCACATTGTGTGCAATACACCCCAACTATATTTATATGTTCTTGTCCGTAGGGTCCCCAGGGTCCAAAGGGTTCTAAAGGGTCCAGCGTGAGTAATTCTCCTATTTTTTGTTCTTTTACTTAAGTTTGGTGTATTATTTTTAAACATTGTGTAGCATGGCCAACACTGCATTTCTTTCATTGCTTTATAGGGTCCTGCTGGTCAAAAGGGTGACAGTGGGTTACCTGGTCCACCTGGTCCTCCAGTAAGTAAGAATTCTTATCTTGGCATTACATTGACACAATCCCCCTGTTTTGACAAGGGTAAAACTCAGCATTTTTGAACTAAAATAATAATGATTGTTTGAAAATTAATTTTTCAGGAATCATTTTTCACAGATCCCCAGACACAGAAATACATGTCTGCACTGAAAAATCCATTAGAAATTTAAAACAAATACCTCCCCAAATAAAACACCCAAAAAACCCCTATATGCCCTCCATAAACAAAAAACCCTCATGCAATAATTATTTAGGGTGTATATTGAAGCACAGAAAATAGAATGATACTAGTTTCCCCTGGTGATATTCTTCTGTTTCCACTATTTTTCATATCATAATAATATAAAATTAAAAGAGTCCAAATCTGAATGAAGTGTTTCAATTTCTTGAAATTAAATATTGCTTCATTGACCCCAAGTGGAATTTTGAAGTTTTATCACAGGAAACATCAACAGTTTTCACTTGTCATAGACTGTCTGTGCTCGAGGGAATTGTCAGGGATACAGAGGTAACTGCAAGTCAGTTCTACACACTTATGTGAGGGCAACACACTCTTCCCCAGACAGCATTGTAGTGAGAAGAGTTTAGAGCACAACAAGGGTTTGGCTTCTACAATCTTTTTTTTTTTTTTTTTGCAAGTAAATCAAAACGCATAGGTATAAATCTGAAGTAATTAAGCAAAATAAAGAAATAAACACTTTGAAGAAAGCCTATTCAAAGCATCTCCAAGCCACATTCTGTGTTCTTCCTCAGCTGAAAAACAAACAGAAAAGATAATCAGATATCTTGCTTTCTCCTCAGGGCCCTCCGGGTGAGGTAATCCAGCCACTGCCAATCCAGTCACCCAAGAAGACAAGAAGATCTCCTGATTATATGTTATCTGATGCTGGTGATAATATTCTGGATTATTCCGATGGCATGGAAGAGATCTTTGGTTCTCTGAATTCGCTGAAGCAAGACATTGAGCACATGAAGTACCCAATGGGCACTCAGAATAACCCAGCCCGAACCTGCAAAGACTTGCAGCTCTGTCACCCAGACTTCCCAGATGGTATGTTAATATTGCATGGCAGAGGAGACAAGGCTGAGCTTATGATCTGCCAAGATACTTTGGCAGAATAATTAATTACTGGGAGATGGGTAATACAGTTGCTCAACAAATACAGTCTCATTGAATCCATTTTTACAGGTACAAAATTTTAAAAAATGTAAGAGATGTTCTTTTGGTAAAAGCCAAAATTCTTGAAACACATAACCTGATCTGGTTTTAGGGTTAAAACTTTTTAAATAAAAAACAGTTGTTGTTTTGAAAGGTGGGCCTTGCATTTCCAGGACAATCCAAGCAGGAGTGTGATGAAAGACTGTTTAGATCAATGGAAAGTAAAATCACAAATGTCAGCATGCTGGGACAGCTAATTGCTTCTTTTAAAATTAATGGTAATTATTTTAGTAGCTGTATACTTTAGCTTAGCATAATAATATAAAACAGCATTGGTATCATAGGAGATTTATTATCAATTATGACTCTCAAAAACTTTACTATTCTTTTACCTTTAGAAACAATAATTTGTTCTACTGCACCACCACTGTTTATTCTATATCAGTCAGCAAAGTTTCTTTGATACTGCTTAATGCTACCAAGCACTAGCATGATAAAATGCAAAGCAGCATGAACAAGACACAATGTTCTGAAGAACTATCTTGATTTTATTATGCTTTGTTCTTTTCTTCTTTTTTTTTATAACTGAGTTTACCCCTCTGAAAAGGTTTAAATGAAAGCCAGCCTTCACAGAATTTTTATCCTTTCATATATTTTTCAATTGCAATGGATATTTTTCCCAGTTCAAAGCAATATTTTTCTGTTTTTAAATGGGAGGAAAAATGGATTTTGACAGTTTAATAATATTTTATTGCTTTCGTTCTAGATAGATAAGAACAGATGGTCGCCTTGAGGAGTAGTTAAGCAGTGTATGCGCTATATGAAAAGTACATATTTTACAATTCAGTACCCTCCATAATAGGGAATGGTTTTTATAGAACACAATCACCTTCTTCATTTACCAGTATTTGCTTCTTATTTGGAGCCTTCATATAAAAGTAATCTTATTTTGGTTAAAATAAAAGCAAATGTATTCATTAAAATACAAAATTCTCCAGGGACAAGACTTACAGATAGGAAAGACTGTTTTCAATAAATACAGGCTAAATCAACAGAATTTTTAAATCCCATAAATGCTTTGTCTATATTCTATATTCAGAAGACAGAACTGATGAAAGGATTTGTCATTTCTCTTTGAAACCTCCACTATTTGTTTGAAACGGGATTAGACCTGTAGTGTCAGAAAATCAATTGCTGTCCTGCTTCAGAAATATCTGGAGATAAGAACCCACAACAGAGAAATCATCATTATAATTAGAATAGTAGATTTTAAAAAGCAGTGACTTTTAATGGACCTTGGATGGACTGCACTCTCCTTCGTGCCCAGCCTTCACTAGTTTCACTAGCACTGCATCTTCATAACCCAGGAGTGAAAAGGTCTTTGTGTGAGGTAAATCTCTCTCAGTGGAAGCTTTAGGTACTTGTGCCAGCTACAACCCCACCAAGCCCCGTGCACACACCTTTTTATGCAGATAAGTATGGCGATGACTCCAGATTTTGCTCTCTGACCTAAACCATAGCTTATTTCTGCCTAAGGCTGCCTCTGCTCTGTTTTGGAGAGTGCTCTCACCACACATACAAATTATCCTTCTAGCTGAAATACTGAAATGGCCAGATTTTTGAGACTTGCAATATATGTTCCACACATACTGTCATTCCTTCTCTAGACTGAGGTGTCTGTCTGCAGTTCTCCCAAACCTCAGCAGTCTCCTGCAACAGAACCATGGTTTGAAGTCAAACTAGACAAAAACAAGAGAATCCAGATAAAAACAAACTTTGATCCTGGTGTTGTCTTTCATAAATGACAACAGCAACAGATCATAAGGCAGAAAAGAAAGGGTTGCTTTCTTATTCGGATACAATAACTTTGCTACACACTTTGGAGAACCATTAGGTAGCAGTAAAGCCTAGTTCATCCAAATACCAATACTACTATATAAGGCAAGTATTTTCTCATTTGTTTTAGGGGAATATTGGATTGATCCTAACCAGGGCTGTTCTGGAGACTCCTTCAAAGTATACTGCAATTTCACAGCAGGTGGGGAAACATGCATCTACCCAGATAAGAAATCTGAAGGAGTAAGTACCAATCTGTGTTTTCAGTTGACTGTTGACAGATCCTACTGTGCTGTTGCAGTGTTAAACTAAACAGGATAATTACACTGTCACATTTTCATATATCTGTCTTTCTAATTACATTTTTAAATTTGCATACCTCTGAATGGAGTGGTAAAATGGTACATAGAGTTAACAAATACCATTTTCAGTCTTAGACACGGAATCTATGCACCTGCTTGCTAACATTTCACTACCTTTCAGAATGCAACACAGCTGAGCAGCCAGTTACTGAACATAATCTAGCACTTGTCACCTAAAAGCAAAACTCTTACTATGTTTCTCTTGTGGGTTCATTTATAGCTATTCATTTATACCTATGCAAAGTAGCTGTAAAACACTATGTATTAACAGTGTCCTGAGTCACTGTTACAGACTATATCAGAGGGGGCACAAGGTATAGAGGAAGGCTTTCTAAAATCTTGCCTAAATGAGAGAGATCTATCAGCAGCAACAGCAGTGAAAACTCTAATTTAGACTCTCTTCACAACAACAATTCATACCACCAGTTTACCCGAATCTTAACAGATTATAATGGTCTCCCTTAATTAGAACTAACTCTCTTTATAAGCTATCACCTTGAGTTCCTGGCAAAGTCACTAATTTGAAGGCATTCTATACAAGAAAAACATCCTATTTTAGAGCTTTAAAGTGACTGAGATTTCAGAAAGAACCATTTTTTATTATCTGGTGTGAAATTTGTCCCAAGTAATGTAAAACCTTCATATCTGTTAATATATGTTTTAAATAATTCTGTCTCTGCTGTTTGACCACACAGGTTAGAATTTCATCATGGCCAAAGGAGAATCCAGGATCTTGGTTTAGTGAATTCAAGCGAGGCAAACTTGTAAGTTGTCACTGCAACATAACTGTATTCACAAATCAGGTGCACGTTATCAGCGATCAGCAGATCCCAAGGAATTTTATAAATATTTAGATAATGAAAAGACCCTCAGCCTTTTTGCCCTAAATATTACAGCAGTTATGTGGCCTCTTACCACTGGACAACAGAAGCCTGCTCTGTATTGTCCCACAGTGATCCCAGTGGTCACCTGCACACCTGATGGTGAGGATCTGCCTTCTGGCAGACCACACATCACCACTGAACCTTAGGAAAGCAGCTGGAGCACAGATCCCCCACGCAAGTATAGTAAATGGAAATATACTGAGTATGAAAAGATGAGGCTGACATGACTTTATGATTAACTACAAACGGATTCCCAAAGAGATTCTGCTGTTTTACACTATAAGATAGGAGTAATTCTCTGTCTTTCCAAATGGAATGAAGCTAAAATATGTAGTTCTTCGTCCTAAATATATTGCTACATTACGAAAACCTATTTACTGAGTCATAGCTGTATTGACCTTTAAAACTCCATAAAATGTTATATGTTGATTTTTTTTTTAAGAACAGCTATGTGGTTCTTTTTTGTCAACAATAATTTTAGTTCACATTGTAACAAAAAAAAAAAAGATAAATATTCATCTAACTTCTTGTATTTTCCAGCTCTCCTATTTGGATGTTGAAGGCAATTCCATTAATATGGTCCAAATGACATTCCTTAAACTACTGAGTGCCTCTGCCAGACAAAATTTCACTTATAACTGTCACCAGTCTGTAGCTTGGCATGATGCACCATCTGACAGCTATGACAAAGCACTGAGGTTCTTGGGATCGAACGATGAAGAAATGTCTTACGACAACAATCCTTACATCAAAGCTCTTCACGACGGCTGTGCAGTAAGTACCCTTTCAAAGAGCCTTTACAAAACCAACCTGTCATTTAAAGTAGAAATCAAACAAATCTATTTTTCATAGCCTTCTTCTGAGAAAAGCTTTCTAAACACTTTACTTTTCATATACTGACTTTTAGCAGATTTTTAACTACAGTACACTAGTCCCATATTTAATTTTCACATATGTACCAAAAAGAAATAACCATAAGCCAAGCTACAGAAATGGAACAAACTGGGAATGGCCATCAAGGCATATGCAAACAGAATATTTAGTGAATACAGCAAAAACATGTATTAAATAAGCCCTATGTATGTACCCAAAAATAGTAAACTATTTTAATAGTTTGATACGTGACTTTGTATTTCCTTTCCTCATTTTGTGTAGTCAAAGCCAGGTGAAGTTTGTGGATTTTACTTTTCAGAATCCTCCTTTAGCTTTGCTAAAATCCCCAGAGGTGTCCAAATATGCATCAGCTCTCTGATCACCTCTCCATCAGGGTCTCTGTGGGCATAACAACTGTTACCACTTTTCAGAAACAGAATGATTTGTATTCAACACTTTGAAACAAAGACATCAAAAGAGCAAGTGACAGTTGAAGCCTCATTAATTATTTTGGGTTTTGATATGGGAGCATTTTGAAGGCAGTTTCTGAGAAGTCAGTGATACAGAATTAGAGACCTGAAAGTGCCAGGATATATACCTGGCTCTCAGACAGAGATGCTGCTCAGGAGGTGCAGTCTCTGCTCAGCAGTGAGAATCTACTACAAAACTGCTTCATGTAAGCCTTTCTATATGCCTTGTATTTTTATTTCACTTTTGTTACCCACAGTGGGTGAATGCAGAGCTCCTGAGAGATGTGAACATTGTAACTCTGTAAACTGAGAACCCTCAGATCTGTCAGCTTGGATGCTCATCTGAACTCCAGGACTTTGGCACAGCTGAAGGGTCTCAGCAAATACAAGAGACCATGTAAAGGAAGTGCAGTTGTGATAACTAACATGATGACTTGGCTGCATGACATATAGAGGAGCTAGAGAGCTTTCTTTGGGCAGCAAGGGTGTGCCTTCAAAGCCAGCTTTTAAGTCCATCAGTTGCCAGTCCTGTCAGACTACTACTTTCTTTCCTGTCCAAACAGCTGCTGTAATATTTTGTGAGACAGTTACGGTCTTTCTCTTTCAGAACTAATTAATGATTTTTTCACAAGGAAGATGTGCACTGCTATGGGAATATTATTAGTTATTAAATAGTATAGACATGAACTGAGAATTCTTTAGGAAAGATGAAATGTCTTAGATTATTTTTCATTTATAGGTCTATTTTAGTAAGTCAAAAAACTACAGCCTGTTCTCCTTCTAAAATCAAAACATTTTTTAAATAAAATCATAAGACAATTTATAAACATAATAAACTTTAAAGTTTGCAATATCTGCTGCCTGACAGGGCAAAAACTTACAAATTCTCCACTTCACAGATAACCTGTGAAGATCTCCAGCACATGCTCACTGCTCTGATTGATCTATAACCATTTGCTTTTTTTCGCTTCTCTTTTAACAGTCAAGAAAGGGCTATGCAAAGACAGTGATTGAAATCAACACGCCCAAAATAGACCAAGTGCCCATAGTTGATGTGATGATCAATGACTTTGGTGATCAGAACCAGAAGTTTGGATTTGAGGTCGGTCCTGTCTGCTTCCTTGGTTAAGCTTAAGACAAAATCAGATCAACAAAAATGTTGCACTTTGGTGCTACCAACCCACTTCATGCCACATGCAAGTTTTGAATAAGGATGGCATAGAAAATATGTCTTGCTGTGTATGTATGTCTTATCTAAAAAGTAATCATTGCCCTTGTAGGGCCAGAATCACATGACTTAAACTTATTTTGCAAAGATGCTGTGGCACAGACAGACAACACAGGGCTCACTTCAGGAACACCCCCTTTGGATTCCTTTGGTGCTGTAAAAAACGAACGACATGGTGCTCCTTCCATTACAACAAAGAGGTGTTAAGAAAGTGTTTAATAAACTGTAATTATTCTATGTACTATAGTACTATACTGTTATTTCTCTGTCCATTTCCAAAACTTGCATGTGTCTCTGAATTGCATCTGGCTGTTATTTTACATTTACAAAACTACATGGTCAATACTGTGTATGTATTCTGAAAAAATAAAACTGTAATTGCCGGTGAAGCCAATTCCGTTTCTGATTAATAATAAAATCCCTTTGTATATATTGTTGTTGAAGAGCTTTGTTATTTGAAGTTGCCAGTAAACTTAAGGTGGCAAAACTGGAAGATCTTGAGCAGCACACTCAAACAACTCTTTTCTGCTGATATCACTCTGTGACAATGAATTTTGATAATGAAAGCATCTTCAGAGGTGCTGTGTTCCATGGTGCTATACCTCAGACTTCTTATTTTCTTTTCTAATTCCATAATTTCATAAGATAACTGTATATACCTAAAATAAACAAGTTTATATTTTTGGGTGGGGAAAATATGTAAGAAAAAAACAAACTTCTGTGTAAGAGAATTGTTAAAAAATCTGTGTGAAATAAATTAGTCATATAGGTTTCCCTTGTTGTTTTTTTTTTTAATCTCATCTAGATTTGTTTCCATTGTGCTTATTTGGTCTGCGTAAATATAAAAACTGAATTCTAAACAGTTATTTATGGAGTTTTGCAGTGTTTACTTAGATGTTTATGTAAGCAATGGATGTTTGCTTCTTGAACTGGATACTAAAAGTTCCACAGAATGGTCCTATACAATATTTGCCCGTCCCATTAATATGAATGATTTTTCTTCCTGTTATTCCACCTGAAGGCCAGGGATGCAATATGTCTAGGTCATGTGATTCTACACAGTTGCTAAGCAACATACGAGGGACTGCTTCCTACAGAGCTGTCTTTGACCCAAACCCTTACAATTCGCTATTCAAAGCTCACCAAAAACACAGGTTGGTTTGGCCTTCCCTCTGAACATTTTATTCAGGTAGTTGGAAGTAGAAATAACATTTTAGCTTTACAACACAAATCCTTTTGTAATTATTTTTCATAATATATGTAAGACTTGAAAAGAAATGTTTGTTTCTATTTCTTATAAATTGTTAAATTAAATAGTACTAGTTTCTGCTGGCTCGTTTCCAACTGGTATTTTCTTATGCACGTTTATACATGTAAAAGTGAGATTTCAAAAGTCAACTTCTTGCTGTTCATATTTTCTTTTATTTTTGAACCAAAGTTTGTAACTGTCACCTCAAAGAGGAAAATACAAATTTTATTAATAAAATCAAGTCTTGTCTATCTGGATTGGTCATTCTCTTATTTCAGTGTCCAGTACTCACCCATTGCCATTAGTGTAACTTCATTCTGCCTCCAGACCATCCAGGCTCCAAAAAAAGGTAATTTTACTACATGTCCTGGCAAGCACTACTGGAACACAAAATTTCCAGCACCTTGCTTTAGATAGTGGAACCAGAACTGGTGATGGGTCCCATCTAGAGACATGACATATGTCCCCAGGGTCTTCTCCAAAATAGCTTATCCGTTTTTAAACTGCTAACTGTTCTTTATTAATTCTGGTTATGTCTAAGCAAGCTGTGAAAGCAGCTCCGATAATTTTGGCAGAAGAGAAGCTACTTTCTGCTGCTCAAGTGGGCCAGGTTAAGTTAGGGGCTGAGCTGTTCAAGCCTGTCTAAAAAAAAAAACCCAACACTTCTGGGTGATGTGCTTTAGGGTGATATGGGTAAAAAATAAAAAGAGTCAGGATTAGTCGGCAGCAGAATGTTGTTTCTAAAAGTGCAATGATGTATTCAAGAAGCCAAATGAAACCAGATTTTTCCAGAATTAGGCAAAGCATCTTGCCAAGGTTTGTGTTGGCAACATCCCAAAAGAGAAAATAAACTTGAGTCTTCTACACTTCTCAGGCAAGGGCGCATCAGGTTTATTCTTTAACCCTTCTTAAGGTCTTAACCACATACCTTACTATTTATCCTTGTCATGAAAGCATCTCACCCACTGCCAGTTATTCTCACTCCTCTTTGTCCATTCTCTTTTTCAAAATGCTGTTGTTTTTCTCTCCAAGTTTCAGATTAAAGGGGGAAAATGCCATTATATATTCTTGCCTTCAAGCAAAAATTATGCTCTCCGTTTTTCCCTCGACAGAAGTCTCATCTTAGCAGTGCTTAAAAAACAAACAAACAAAGAGAGCACTCTTTAGAACAAAAAGAAATTTCACATCAAAACTCACACATTAGTCCTCCTATAAAATAAACTTCAGATTCTGTAATTAAATCCTACTAGCCATAAAAACATAAAACCTCAGATTCAGATTCATCATACACTATTATAAAAACAAACTTACAAAAAACTATGCAAACCAAATTCCTCACTCAACCAAACCCAAAAGAAAACAAGGATCAATATTTTACACATTCTAAATTAAAAACCTGTGCAATCACAGAAAGGTTGGAACTGTTAGATGCCATCTGGATTTCACCTCTAAAAACTGACAAAACAGAATGTGGATGTTCTGTGATCATGAGGGGTCACCTGACCTAAAGCACACTGAGCAGTTTATCTTGAAAGTTTGCTTCAAGCCCCTCTAACCAGAAAAGCCATCCTGGAGATGGTTTCCCCACTGCAAACACAGATTGTGGTTATGTTGCATGGAAATGGAGTAAGGCAGCACATGGCAAACGCAAGCCCACAAATACTGAGGCAATGTTCTGTCCAGAATAACACGGATATACAATAGGGATTCAAGTGACAAGCTCTGACCATAAAGGCATAAACTGTTCTGTGTGTAGGTGTAGTTTCTTCACCTCTCTCTCTCTCTCTCTCTCTCTCTCTCTCTCTCTTTTCCTCTTTCTAAGCCAGGATAGGGCAATATCAATTCACCATGACTGGCATATCTCTTGGAAAACTTCATAGAATGTAATGAAAATTTTATTTTCAGTCTAAGTGAGCAGCCATTATGACTAACATCAACAGTCACCCTGTGACACAAAAAGCTACCATCTGATTCAAAAAATAAGGACTGTTAATCTGCTTAAGATTCTTCCCCTGGGGAACAGCTTTGTTAATTTTAAAATGAAGCTTCACATGCTAATGACTAGAAGGAGAAGCTTTAAAAGCCATGGATTTTCTATTGCAAGCACACTCATTTTTTCTGCGAATGAACATCTTCTATTGTACATGCACCAAAAAACCCTGAAAATGACAAAGACAGCATATTAAATGTCCTGTTACTGGGAAACGTGTCTTATTTGTGTTCCTTTGGTAGGCACATAAATTATCAGAGGCTCATTGTTAGTTCAGTGAAAAGCAAGGGAGTAGATTGCTCTAAAGCTATTTACACATTTTGTTTTCAATAAGAACATTGAAGATAATTTCAGTGAGGAAGGCTGCAAGCACACAGATATTCAGACATACTGCTCTGGCCAAAATTGGGCTTCTTTCTTTCCCAGCTGTGTGAATGAAGGTTCAGTACTAATGAGGGAGGATGGAGCCAAAGCCTACATTGCTACCACGGACAGGTTTTGTCTAGGTTGTCCAGGGAGCTTTGGCAGACCTTGACTTTGTTTCCAGTTTCTCAAGGGTAGAAGAAGTGATCTCCATCAAAACACACCTAACTTCAGCAAGAGACAAGAGCTGTTAAGAATTCAGCAGTGGGACTGGGATCTAAGTGCCTTCTCTGCTCCCTGGTATGATCTAAGAAATTTTTTTTTAACATCAAAAAGGCATTGTAGTTAAATCTTGCTGAAGCATAAAAGAACTCCAGCTTGTACAGTGATTAAAATGCAGATGAAAATTAAAATTCAGTCCACCCAATAAACTGCCAGAAGAAAACCAAATTAATTCTTCTCTAGCCCCAGAAGTTCTCTGAACTGGATAGGGTGTAAGGATGTAATGGTTAATTAAAAGAACCTCTCTGAGTTTCCAGGGTTGGGATAACAAGGCTGCCCAGAGTCCCAAGGTCATCTCAATAACCAGGAACGACCACAGAAGCCTCACACTGAGTTCCCCTCTCAACCTGAAATATCTCATAGCCAAGGATCTTGAAAATGGCCACAGCACCCCCTGTGCTGCAGCAATGCAAGGCCATCAGGCTGTGGCCTGCAGAGGCCCAGCCTGCAAGCTCTCAAGTTCCCCAGCACAAATAAAAAGTAAACATAGCTACAGCAGAGCCATAAACCCGAGTTTTTAAACAGGAAATATTAACTAAATGTTAAAACCCAGGATGTGACTCACAAATAACAATAACAGCATTACAATATAATTGTTGTTTCTGAAATGGAAACATTGATTTGTTATTTGTTAGTTTACTCAGCATCTTATGCAGGAAGCCCAGTGAAGTCAGCCAGGGTACTGTCATGGAGCTGCATGACTTGTAGAGCAGGTACTTTTCATTACAGCACAGAAAGTATATTTATTGGAATGAGAGGTGAAAGGATTTAGAATGAAGTTGTTTTTATTGGTATAAAAGCTTCTTTCCGTCAAATATTAACAAACAAAAAAAAAGGTAAGGTTTTATATTCTATTCATACAGTCTCTTGGGCCTGTGCCTTTTTTTTTTTATTAGAATGTCATCTCAATGGCAGCTCAGGTGAGAAAGTAGCTCTGCTTTGGGGTCTGTTGCCCAAATTGGCTCACAAGATAACATAGCACAATGTGAGGGCTCAGGCTCTGGAGAATGCATAAATAGATAATCTTCATAACATTCGCTATTCAGTAACTTTCTGATTTGGATGTATAGGGATCACTTATCCTTTTGTTATTCCTCAGAAGGATTTTAGAAATATCCACTTTGCTCTAAGCCTGCAGAGTTGTTCAGTGCACAGATATTAAGATCAAAGCTGTTTACTGTCAGAAAGGGCCAAAAAAGGAATTTTAATTTCTAAAAACTTTCCACAGCACTCTACATTCTGAAAAGACCAAAGTATGTTCACCTTCCAACTTCTCCCACTTTTTTAGCTGTGATGTTTCCATTTGAAATTATAAGGTGTTTTTCTCCAAACTGATGGAAAATATTTGACTGGTAGGAGGAAGTCCCCTCATATCCACACTGAGATAGTCCATGTGCTGGGGTACAGGAGCTGAGTACAATACTGGCAGTGGAATAAAGGCACAATAAAATAGAAGAATAAAGGCACAATAAAATAGTTTCTCACAACAGAAAGGAGGAAAATGTGGAGGGGGAGCAGGAAATAAGAAAGCAGTGGGGAAATATGTGGGAAAAGGATGATAGGAGAATTTGCTTCCCTCAACATAGGGCAGGAGGGTGAGAAATCTTTATGGCCAGTCTGGAGCATCCCATGTGATTGCTGGTGTAGAGCAGGGGTCAGGGTCTGTTTCTCATTGCCAACTGGCAGGGGTGCACCACCCCCCCGGTACAGAGGCAGCAGCAAAACTGGTTTACAAAAAACACACCTAAAACCAATAGCAAAGATTCCATGTCTCTATGGAAAACACAGTACTACTAATACCTGCAGCACTGGCTGCAGCCACATCCCAGTCCCTTGCCCTCCATCCCCTCCCTTCCCAAGCTCACCTCTCACTCTCAAAACAGTCCTGACACTGCTTGCTCTGCAGGACCTCTATTCTTGTGGAGCAGCCACATTATTTTGTGGCACTGAGGAATGACATTTGAACTAGCATCGCATCTTTCCAATAAAATTTTCCTGGAGAAAACAATAAAAAAATTTAAAAATGGACAGTACACGTGAACTGATGATACTTGAAATTTTTCCTGATTAAATGATTCTTGACTATTTCAAGACATTATGCAGTTTTGCATGTGTGCATTCATTTCTCATGTTTTGCATAATCTTTCTGATGACTGTATGCACAAGTGTACCATGTAGAAACAGCAGCTAGCCAATGTGATTACTCATTAAATTTAATGACTAGGTTAGAATCATCTACTATAAAACTAAGATGAAAGAGAAATCACAAATTTGAAAGCCAACTAAGGGCTGAAACATATGCAAGCACAGTTAGTTAATACCCTCTTAATATGCATAACAATAAATACATCATATAGATATACAGCAAATTAAGATGCACGTTACCCAAGTGGAACTCAGCTGTGATAGTGTATGAAATGATACATTTAACACTAATGAGAGGCATAACTCAGAGGGAGCAAAAACATCAAAGTACTTTAGGGCTCTCTTGCAACACTGGAATATTTTTCATAGCCAGATATCATTCCAAACTTTTCTGTTTAAACACAGTGAAGGAAGACAGAGCTTGATGTGTGCCCCCAAATATCTGTAAATAAATGGAGGTTGACTCACACACACAGAGGTCAGGGCTGTAACATTGCAAAAAGCAGAAAAGGGTAAAGCCCAGGGCCTACATGGCCCTGTATGTGTGACAAGGGAGGATTACAAAGGAACATGACCAAGTACAGCCGAGGAATCATAAAACATCCTGAGTTGAAAAGGACTCATAAGGATCACCGAAGTCCCAGCCCTGCACAGGACAGCCCCAAAAATCATACCTGTGTGCCCGAGAGCATTTTCCAAATGCTCCTTGAACTCTGGCAGGATTGGTGCTGTGACTTCTTTCCCAGAAAGCCTGTTCCAGTGCCCAACCACCCTCTGGGCAAAGAACCTTTCTCTAATATCCAACCTCAACCTCTCCTGACACAACTTCAGGGCATTTCCTCAGGTCCTGTCACTGGTCACCACAGAGAAGAGATCAGTGCCTGTCCCTCTTCGTCCCCTCACAAGGAAGTTGTAACTGCAGTGAGGTCTCCCCTCAGTCTCCTCCAGGCTGAACAGACCAAGTGACCTCAGATGCTCCTCTTACGGGTTCCCCTCAAGGCCCTTCACCATCTCTGTAGCCTCCTTTGGCTGCTCTTTAATAGGTTTAGATTTTTCTTGTATTGTGGCACCCAAAACCGCACAGAGCACTCAAGGTGATACTAGCACCTGAGTATTTGATGAAATACATCAAAGCCCTCTTTTAAGACATGGCTTTAATTGCACTTATTTGGATATTTATTCTGAGCAAAGCTTCCACCCTCCTAAGCAACTCCCTCCCAAGGAGGGAGTTTGGTCTGACACTGGCAGCACGGGTTCTGTGTGTCCATGGGGCATGCCTGCATCGTTTTGTTGGGCATTTTTCTTCCCCTCAATTCTCATTTCTCCTTAAAAGCATCATATTAATGTCCCAGTCACAGCATCCACAGATTTTTATATCTGCATGTGTGGAAGAGGTGGATTCACATTTAGTTGTTATCTCTTCAAAGGCATAAATAAGGTTAAAAAAACCCAACCCAACGAAAAACCAAAACCCACAAAATACGAACCTTTCCCTCTCCTCCTCACAACACACGAAGCTGTGCATGTGCTCTGGCTCCCTACCCGTGGTGTACACAGGTCAGTGCCACCTCCACTCATTTGTGTTCTCTCCCCTGTCATGCCATGCAAAACACTTCCCATGAGTCAGCACTGGTCTGAGGATCATTCTCCGAAGAGCTCGATGAGAGAAACCTTTTTGGAGAGTGAAGGGAAGAACAGGTTGGTTTTTTTTCTTATCTCGGTATTTCTGTGGTAGAAAAGGCTGCAAAACCTGAGTAGCTGTGGGCCTTCTAATAGCAGGTATGCAAACAACTCTATAAACTAGCTAGGGCTGTCTGTCATTGGTTTTGAAGCACTATTCAAAAAGTTCTTACACTGAAAACTCTTCCACTGAGACATGAGTCATAAATAAGCAGCTTTGTGGTCGATGCAGTAGCTCCTCTTTCATGTAATCTCTTTTTCTGAAAGCTTTGATTGAGAGCTAAGCCACATTCAGGGTTTTGTGGTTGAGTCTGGGAGCTTCCTTCAGTAATCTCATTCCTGAATTAATTGCTGCTGGAGCTCATCACCCATAATAACATTTCAAGAATCTTTCCCTTATTATCTTCATCTGTCAGGTTAAATTCATCTTTTTGACATGACACACATTAAAAGGTCTAAAAGAGAAGTACATACTTTGTTACTCAATAGGAAGAAGCAGCACACAGTGCTGTTACTGCCCACAGGTCTGCTTCTGCCCTTCACGAAAAATGAAGGACATTTCAGTGAACTTCAGAGATAAACACCTAAAAATAAGAAATCTTCTTGTCCACAGTCCATCACCTTTAAGGACCATGGCAAGGATTCTTCTACTTTCACAGTTTAAGGATGTTTCTATGCAACATGTACAACAAAGTAAGAGACCTGCACCAGTCTCACACCTAGACAAGCAGCAAATTACAGCTGTGGTCTAGGCTGGGCTCTCTTCCCCTCAGTTCTCCTTGCCTGCAAATTGTCTTAGGCTGAGGGTATCAGAAAAAATGGGGTTATAATTTTTGCTCAAAGTATTCAGCTGCCAGGCAGCCAGGTAAGGACTGCGAGGTAAAACATTCCTGAGCAGGGGAGAACTCCAGACCACTACTCCAGGTAATTCTTAAGTTAACACAGGTGCAAACCATGCATTCCCCCTTGTTAACCACTGTTTCTATCGGGATTGCAAAAAAAAGTCTTACCCTTAATGAGGTAGGATCCAATTATGCAGGAAATGCATGGACACATTTCAAACACCTGGGGATAAAAGGAGAGAAAGGTTAAGACAGTTTTGAGCTGTATTCTGTCTCAAAAGAAAATCAATGCAAACTCACTCTCTGTCAGATGCTTTTATAATATCTGAAAAAAATACACACAAATGAATTTTATCTGTATGCTTTTGTGAAAACACAATAGAATTGAAAAAAATTGTTTGTGTAGTAAATGTAAAGCTTGATGTATCTTACAGGAGTCCAAAAGTTTTAAGGCAAATGCAAAGAAACTGTTTCAGTAGGCTTAGGTTTCCTGCACATGAGTGCAATACATTTCATTTTTCAACTTCTTAAAAGCTTTTATATGATGTTTGAAAAAAATATCCCATCAGTCAATAACTCATTGTAAACTTATACCCGTATAAAACATACAAAATATATTTTTATAGAAGTTACTCACATAAATATAAATTCATATGAAGATAAAAATATATTCATGCTTCGCTGTGGTAAAATCAACTACTCGTAAGGGCATTTGGTCTAATTTCACAAAATTTCCCTGTTTTGTGATGGTATCAAACCAAAAGTGCAGAGAGCTACTGAGGGCTGATACCAGGATAAGTGAAAGGGGAATCAGTCATTCTGCTTTTCTGACTATTATGGTAATGTGATCAGTACCTTGACAGATGCTAAGAATAATTTTGCTGATTGACTTTTCTTCAAACCTAAGGCTGTGGGCAATCAAAGAAAATATGAACATCTGGATAAGCTTTTGATTGCCATGCTCACTGATATACTGCACCCAAATAAGCAACAATTAGTACAGCTTATGTCAAAAGACCCATCAGTTAATTCAAATTAAGGCAGCAAAACTGAATCCAATTGGCATTCATGCATATTTGTATGCATAGTTTAAATAAACTTCTTCTGCACTACATTATCCTTTATTTACAAGGAAAACACATGCAAGTTTTGTGTTTTAAGTAAATATTTTCAAAAGCTTTATGATTTCTTAAAGCCAAACTTCTGGGCAAACTCTGTGTCCTTTGGAAGGGCATATCCAGTATAATAAAGATAAAAATTTGTTGGTTTTCTCAAGGTCACATTTCTCACCTGTTAATAAACTTGACAAATTTGGAGAAGTTATTCATAAGCATTTTGTCAGTAGCAATTACAATAACACCAGACTGGTATTTGGGTAAACTTACTAACTAACATGGTGGTCAAGATAACTACCAGATTGTAGTAAGAAAGGAAAGTCCTAAAACTGAAGACTAATTTCCTCATGTTTTTTGCTTGATTTTGAGTGTAAAACCCTGGGAATGTGTATTTTCTTTCAAAAAAATAGCATTCTTGTTTGGATTCTATTTATGGAAACAGTAAATTAGGTTGCATGAGAACCTGAGATTAACACTAATCAAAGGCAAAAGACAAAGTTGAAGTTGTGTGCTTAATTTTTTAAAAAGAGAAATTTTTTAAAGAAAAATTTTAATTCTAGATTCTTGCAGTAAATAAACTTTAGTCTTTGCTTGCAGATATAGATACCATTGTTTCCAAGTTAACCCATTAAAATTTTATTTGTAACTTGGGTGTGGAAATCTGTTCTTTTTAAAAAAATTGTGTCAGCTCTGGCTGAGGTGCTATTGGTGCTCAACTAATTAGAGGTGAAATTTACTGTAATCTCACCTAAATCTCAGTTAGCTCAATTTTACCTGACTCTGAAGTTCTATTACAAAATCCCAGGATTTCTGCAACACATTCAGATGTGTTCATCCAAAGCCTCATGCAAAGCAGTGGTGAGTAGAGGTCACCCACACAGCCCCAGCTGCAGCAGTGCTCAGGAACTGGGTACCTCACTCCACATGTAGCCCTGAGTGCCCGGTGCTATCAGAGCCAGGGAGCCTCAGAGCAGTGCTGGGAATATTTAAAATCCTGCTACAACAGAAGAGGGACCATGCCAGAGGAGAAGGTTGGGTGAGCCAGTCCATTGGCATGGGACTCACGTGGCTACATTACCAGCTGCCAGTGGTGCAATGAGTGCGGCCAAGCAGCTGTTACATTCTTTTTTTCTAAGGGTCAACTTTGTTTTGATGCCAAGAAATAGGTTTTCCTAATCATTGACTCCTGTGAATATTAAGACTTCAACACTCTTGAGAACAATCAGATCAATTAATTAGAAAACTGTTACTATGCTGCTTTCATAAATCAAGGATTAGCTTGTGATCCATAACTTCAAACAGCCTTTTAGCAGCTGTTTTCTTGAAGCTCTTTCCTTTAAAATACTAATACATCCATCTTATACATCCATCTTCTGATTCAGAGGTTAAGAGTTCTTCTATTAGTGTTACCTTCAGAAATATATTTGATGGAAAATCCCTTAGATAGTCTAATGATGTGGTCCAGTTGCTCTGAAGTGCACAGGCCCCTTACAAATGCTACTCAAAAATCAATACAAATCCTTCAGTGCCTTCAAAGGATGTGGAGTAAGGGCCTTAGTAATAATGATTGTCTTCAGCAAATAACTGCTCAGTGATTATTCTGCAGTGGCCTAGAAGTCCAAATTCCCCTCAATAACTTTCAAAATGGATGCATGCTGGGAAATGTAAAATCATCCCTAGCACACAGGTCAGTAGCTGAACTTTCTGGCTAAAGTACCTACTTATTTACTCTGTTGCTTTGTCATTATCGACATAAGACTTTGGAGAGGAAAGTCTACTAAAAAAAGTAAGTTCTAAAATAGTAGGTCAGCATTTCAGACATGTTCAGCACACCGAAGAATACTGTGCACCACAGGAGAATCAGCTGGCAGCCTCTCATTTTGCCCATTTTATTTAGGGATTTGAAAGTAGACTAAGGAAAATAAATTTTCAAAGACTGTGGTAGTAGGGGAAAAAATCACTCCAAATTGGTAACAACAAAGCAGCATTCATAGTTATGGCCTCTGATATTTATTCTCTGAGTAAAGCAGCCTGATTGCTTGGAGTCAGGAACAGGGGAATACTTAGCAAAGTTTGAAGTAGTGTGGAAATTACTTTATTGATAAGACTCTGAATGTAATGTTGTGGCATCTTCCTAGAGTTCAGGTTTCCATGAGAAAGTCATAGTGGACAATATCAAAAGCTCAGCACAGTCCAGATGTAACAGCCATTGCTTTGACTATACACAGAAACAGCTGCACTGCTGAAGTAAGAGACTGGCTGGGCTTGTCAAGAGCAAGTCGTAAAGCCAGTCTTGCCTGTTCCTTACCGCCCTGTTATTATCTGTATGCTGATACTCTATCAAACTAACCAACAAACCAAAATGGTTCTTTCCACTTCTGGTCAGCTTTTTCCCTGTTAAATAAAATGAATAAACAATCTCTCATAATTAGCCCATATGAAGAATCAAAAAATGCATTGAATGCATGAGCCTATTTCCTATTATCTGCCATTCCTCATGTCTTAATATATCCAGAGTCTGTTGCCACATGCATATGCCATTCCTCTCTGTTACTTCTCAAGTGTACTGCTACTTTTTATACAATGTCTTTATTTTCAGACCAGGCAAGAGTCCTTCGTTTGGTTCTGCGGATCTGTTACTGCACTTCTTTCTTAATAATGTGTTTTACCTTCTCATAAAACATATCACACACAAGCTGCTTTGGAACAAAAGGGTCCTATGGCAGTAAGTCCCAGGTAACACGAATTCTAGCAGAGTGTATCCACTTTACTCGGCTTCACTACCACAGCAATTCTAGAAGCTCCAGTCCTGGTTACAAGGGTCTCAGCACTTCTAATATTTGCACTTTATACACAAAACAAGAAGTCACGTAAAATGCACAGCAAGTACAGTCAATGTGCCCCACAAAGTGGCTCAACATATTTCTTATGGACTTGTCTTATTTGCCCACCCTCAAGGATACACAAAATTTTCAGTATCTCATGTTTTCAGTATCTCCTATGTTTGTTAAGAGATCAGGTTTTTCTGAAAGTCTTGGTTGCATCCAATTCACTTTCAAAAATTCAAGTTGTGAAAAAGTTCTGTCTCTCCACAGAATTCTTGGAAAATGAGTGTTCCAACTTTCCAAAGAAAGAAGGTTCTTGGCATACAGAATGAAGAACCTTGCTACATTTATGCTTCACCCTATCAAAACTTTAAAGTAAAAATATTGGAAAAAATTGACCATATACATAAACAGATCAACTGCCAGTGATGTTACTTGCTAGAAGACATAATGAAGTAATGATATAATAAGAAAAATATCTTTGGAAATATAAAGACAGTGATGTTTTTGTATGTTAGCAAAAGAAGTACAAAATAAAGACTGAAGAACACCCAACTTTGTTGTTTTAATCCTGCATTACATTTAAAGTATTTTTATTTCAATCATCTCTCAAGTATTAATGTAAAGTTAAAAAAACCAAAACCCTCCTTGCAGACACGCTGTACCACCATGTTGAGCTCTATGGCTCCAATAACCATAATAAAATCATTGTCATGATTTTTTCCTTCATGCATAATATAGTGTTTGTGTGAATGTTTGTTGTGACTGGAAGTATATTGTGCCATCCAGCAGCTGACACTATAAGTTATGCAATCCATAAATATTAGAGAAAATCTTAGTGTGATTTCAGACCCAGTTTCATTAAGAACAATTCTCTGAACTGGCCACTCTCCTTGTGAGGACATTCCAGTAGCTTAGGGGTTTTTTTCATTTCAAAAGACTTTGAGAACAAATGTTATGTCCAAATATATTCTCTGCAATAAGCATAAGGTAGTGAAATAAATTAGACTAAGTACCTACCCAGGAGTAAAATTAGGTTTTACAGGCATGAGTGCTACCAGAGCTATCAGACTCAGGGAACCCTTTACGATGTAGGTCTTAGTGATATGGTAATAATATGATACTTTAAGCAAGCTGTTGGCTGAATCAGACAAGTTAATCTCAACTATATGTTAGTCAAATCATTTTATCCTCATAAGTTGATTTTAGTCCATTAAGACAGCCTTTTCACTTCACAGTGTGTACGGTCATTACATTTCCCTCCCTTCATGTGTCTCACTCAAAGCAGCACTCAACCACTTTGGAGCTTATTAATGTTAACAAGAATGTGGTCTACCTTAATATAGTGTCAAATGAAGTCAGAAAGTGTCATGTGGATGATAGCAAGAGAAACTGCATCAGCGTGCACATTGTTATCATGTAGATGAGAAATATAAATGAGGGATGAAATGCAATTTAAGCGAACACTCAGATGAAAAACAAATGTGCCACTGAAGACAAACAATTTCTGAAGCAGCTGTATAGGAGTCCTTCCTCACTTGTAATTCTTGTAATGGGATTGAAAATCAAAAGAAACCAGAATTGTTAAGAAATCAGGAAATAACAGATATTTTCACTGAAGTTGTTGTATTTCAATGAAATTCTTATCTTTCACTAACAAGGCAAGCATTATAAAACATACTGAGTTAACTGCATGAGCATGCAAAAAGCTTGTGTATTAAAGCTGTTCATTTGGCAGAGAGACTAATAGGCCTAAAAGCTTTCTAGCTCATTTTAACACCTTCTGTTTTTCTCATTAAAGCTAGCATTGATGTTCAGTTATTATTGTAGGATTTGATCATATTTACAAACCCTTGTTACCTTTCCTCCTTAGAGACCTGATCTGAATCACTTCTGAATATCTAGCAGATGCTCAAGATATTCAGTTCTTGGAAAGAGGCAACAGACTCTTTAAACACCATCTGAAGCACTGCTGCAGTCTCCAACTACTGTGCCTAAAAAGAAAAACATTCCTTGAAGACACTGTTTCAGACAAGTACCTGCTGGTGATTTTATCCTTTGAATCAGCTTGGGCTGATCACTGAGGATTCAGGATCCTAGACTAGATTAATCCCATACAGCTTTACAAAGTCCATATGTTAAATTTGTCTCCAGTACTTATGCTCAACATTTCCAGTGCTACTTTTGACATAACAGTCCTTGGCCTCCAGCCTCTGGTAATAGAAGAAATGTAACTACTGAGGCCTAAGAGTATGAATGGAAGGGGATAGTTTTGCCTTTTACAGTACTGAGCTTAATAAGGTTTTATATGCACACTCAAGGAAGTATATTAATTTGCCTGAGTATTCCTCACTTCACTAAAGAATCAACTTTGATCAGCATCTCAGGTTTGCTCCTCAGCTCTCTTACAAAATGAATTCAGGGGGTCTGTGCAGAGATAATAAAGTTACTGCTCTTTTGGAAGCAAAGTGGTCTGTCCTTGTGCAGCAGCAGAGGACCTGCTGAGGTCAGGTCAGATGCAGTTGTGTTTTAGAAACACTTGTAATTTTCACTTTTGCTGACATTAAGGATAAAAATGTCTGCAGAATAAGAAACATCTTCATTAACGATGGATGCCTATACACACTCTTTTCTGTATGCTTTATTCTCCCTCTGCATTAGCCGTAGGGGAGTTAATAAGGTGCTCAAGGTGAAGTTTGTGCGAACATGCATAAGCAGCAGGTAGGCTGGAAGGAATTACTCCTCTCTCACTGGCATAGCAGTCACATGGAGATGATGACAGGATTGTGGATACAGAGCTGAGAGTAACAAGGTTGGTGCTATCCAAACTCGGACTGCCTCAATCCATCATCTGGGTCAAATCACAACCATTTCCCAACCATCAGGAAAGACTAACCCCAGCTACACCCACCACAAGCTAATTTTGTCACTAAGCAGCACTGTCCAGCAGATGATCTATGTCCATATGTGGCAACTAAGCTCTTATAATCTATGTTTCTGATGCTCACAGACCTCTTTCCTAACTTTTTTGATAGGACCAGCTTTAGAACCAGCTATGTCTTTGAAGAGCTTCTCAACTCTCTTCCTTGCCTGCCCCTCCACACCACTTTTTCAGGAATAAATTCCCAAGTATTCATATTTGCTGTTTTAAGCTCACATTGGGACTACATGAATCAAATCTCATCTGCTAAACTGCTAACTGTTGAACTAATCTGTTTTTTTCTCTGTACATATCTATATGGACCAGCCTTGTTAAATTCCCTGGCCAACGTATGTTACCCAATAGCAAATCCCAGTATTGCCACTGGAGCTATGCCTCTGAAGTATCTTGGCCTATTCTGCTCTCTGAGGAGAGAGGAAAAGCATCAACCTGACATCCCACTACCCTTGAAATCTTACTAAATCAGGAACAAGTTCATACAGGACAGCTTGCTCTGATTCTGTCAGTATTTACACTTAAGGCAAAAAAGGGGCTGACTGATGACTAATGGTACAAGGATACTAATGTATAAAACTGTTTCAATTTAAAAACCCCAAACATCTATTTTAAAGCTTCAAACAGGATTATAATCAGAAATCTGAAAACCCTTTTTGTTCTTCCAAATTAGATTACACATATATCACTATAGTCATCTTGTTATGGATAAGTGGAAAAAGAACACAACTGACCTTCAAATCAACCCTCAGCTTGACAGACTAGATCGATGTATTATCCAGACCTCTATTTCTCATTCTCTTTCAACAGTCAAATAGAATTTATTTGTTATGATAAATAAGAACTCTCCAATAACAACAGAAAATAAGATACAGGCAGCCACCTTGCAATGTACTTGTTCTCAAAATTCTCTTTGTTCTTTTAAAGAACTGCAAGTTTCCAAGCTGCTTGCATGAGTAGCATCTTCATCTCTTAGAGAAAGACTAGAGTATTCACAATGAAGTGAAATCAACTGTTTACAGTGTTTCCTGGAGGACACAGAGTTGACATAAGTTACAGATTAACATCCATTTTGTTCTCTGTGTGGAAAGGTCATAGGAGATCTCAGATCATAGGGGGTCTCAGTTTCAACAAAAATGTAAACCAGAGGCAAAAACTTTTGGATAGAGACTGTAACTTAACTGCAAAACAAGCACCCAAGTGGTTTGCCACCACTTGTTAAAGTCCAATTTGTTCTAATAATGTGCTAAAAAAAGTGTCTTAACTAGAAGTTTCTCCTAATTTTTCTTCATGGATATAAAATGATTGAGAAATTGTAAAAAAGACTGGTTTCTCTTAAATTACCTCTTCAGATGGCCAGGATACATAAGGAAGTCTTGGGAAAGAGCACATGCTGAGGAGGCCACCAGTAATTATTTCCCACAAGAATCCTGTGCCCACGAGATGCAGTCAGGATTAGGTAACGTACTGCACTTCGAAGGTGTAAAAAGATTTCAAAGAGCTCACTGGGACTAGATTATCCAATACACTGGGATTACTGTGATACTGTTTTCATCTATCTTACCATAAAATGATAACTAGATATTCAGACAAAATTTAAGTTATTTTTGACAACCAGTTATAGCACTTATTACTTGAAAACCCAAAAGATAAGTTTTCACTATTTCACATAAGGAAAGTAAAGTTTGTTCTCCATTTATAAAGGAGCCTGAAAATCTATTCATTTCAGTTTTTCTGCTTGTTTACTCCCTAAAAAAAGTTTGTGGTCTATATGAAAGACCACAAACAGAATTCTTAGAAGTAACTCATTTTTTCTTCTCTGACTATACTGCGAGATTCAATTAAAAAAAAACAAAACGCACAACCCCCCAAAAAAACAAACAACAAACCACAGAAGATTTTGTCAGCTTTTGATAACAGGACAACAGAATTGAGATGTAAGCAGCAAAAGGCTTTTTTATTTTTTTAATGCTCAAAAAACCTCAAGATTAATATGAAAGTGAGAAAAAAAAACCCCAACAGGTTGAAGGGGAGTCATGTAGACATCAAATAAAAACCTTTTTCTCAAGGAAGGTAGTGTTGCACAGAGACAGGCTTTTCAGCAAGAACACCCTGGAGGTATTCAAGACTCAGCCAAACAAGGCCAGGGTTGGCTGGACCAAGTTCTAGTAATAGTACCACCTCAAGCAGGGCCTGGAGTTGATAGTTCCCAGAAGTCCTTTCCAGCAATAGTTCTGTCACTGGTGACCTCTTACTGCAATTACTGAAATTACCCAAGAATCACCCAAGAAAAGAGATTATAAGGTCTTAGTAAAAAGGTTAAATATGGTAAAATGCCTAAATATAGAAATAAACCCAAATATTGAAATGCTAATGCAAAAAGAGAGAAGATTCAAATAATTCAAATGAGGATAGGCAATCCTCAAAGCCACATTATAATTTTGGGCTTTTCACTGAATTGTACATGCTAAATGGAAGCAAAGAAGGGACCCTTACCCTTTTTTCCTTTCAAGTCACCTTAACAGAAATGAAAAACATTTACTTTATCACAGCAAAAGTCTGTGCTTAGATAAAGTATTTAATAAAAGTTACCCACATCGGCTGTCATGTGCATTTTAAAAATAATAATATAATTTTACACAATAAGATTCCTTTAAGGATAAGTATTATCTCTTCAACATACTTTTCTCCATATAAGATTTTCCTTCTCAAAATGTCACCCTCAAGACTCCAAACTGTAACAAGAAATTTTATCTTACTTTCTCTGTTCCAGCACCGTTTCTACTAAGGCATTTATTCCACTTAACTTTTTAAGCTGACAGGGTTTGTAACTGGTTGGATAGGCTGCCTGTTTTGCAGGTAAAAATTTAAAGCACATTAAATTCTTTTCCAATACTCGGGTCAGTGTACTCCCAACAGGCCACAAATTGATACTTTATTCTGTCACCCCGAGAGCACAGCTTAATGTAGACAAGCTACAGAGAGAACCCAGCATGAAACCCAGCTTTCCTTCATCATAAGCACATGTACAACCAGCTTATAAGATTGTTCTACTTTAATGAATAAATAGATCATGAGTCGACTACAGTTTTAGCTACAGCAATTCCAAGCAACTTAGTTTTGTTATAAAAGGAAGAATTGGCTCAGGCTGCAACTGTGCATAATTTTAAAGTCTGGAGATCTTTTCTTCATCTTGTCTATTGGACAATATCAAAGGCATCACATATGTAGCAATAATCTTGTTCTTGCACAGCGACTTTCAAGTATTTTTGGCCTGGAACCTCAAGGAGAATGATATTTAAATCATGATGATTTCACTATGAAACAAAAAAAATTAGGCCTATATTAACCAGACTCATAATTCAGTGACTATATCAATTCCCTACATGAAACAAGTGATCATCTGCTCCACTTGTCCACAAGCAATACTAGTATCTTCCCTCTGTGCCTCCCTATTCCCCCTGCTTTAGCTTTAGATCCTTCTCTTTATATACCACTATCCACCTATTTTTAACTTATGTCTTCCAAATTTCTGCTTGGCTGCTCACCTCATCAACATATGGTAGATCTGCTCACTGGTAGTACAGACCTCCTATCTGGGACCATTTATGTACCATCTTGTAGCTGGCACAGTCATTTACACATCTTGAAGGTAATTATACAATGTCACCACCTCAGACTATATCCTCAGAAAAAGCTGTAGCCAGATCTACTTAAAGTACTTGATCTTAAAACTGTTCACTCTGTAGTGGATCGTATTTCAAGAGATGAAACCAAGTTTGATGCTAAGTCTGGCATTATCACTCTAATCCTCCCATTCTGATCTTGAAGCTTCTATTCGATCTGGAAATTTCTCTTATACTCGAAAGTAGGGATTTGTAGGATAAAGAAACTCTTAAATATTTATATTTTTCCCCCTCAAAAAAGAAAAGATACATTTCTCCTCTTAATTTACTCGGAATACTAGATTCCCTCTTTCAGATGCCTAGTGAAAAAAGGGCACATAATGAGTGTTCTCCTCTTGGGAATAAAATTTAAGGATGTTTCTGAGCTTAGTGGAACTTCCTGCTGCAGTTTGAGTCTCTAATGATCATCTTACAGCTATTCAATAATAATTCTGGTTTTTGTACAAATGCGTAAAGTCCTTCATGAATATAAGCCAAGAAACAATGCAGGGCTGCTTATCTCAGCTTTTCTAATTCTTCTTATACCAGAAGCTTAGGAATTCTTGTAGATGGATTTGTCATAATACTTTGTTGGCATTTTTTATAACAATTGCCTCTTCAAGCTAAGCAGGCCCTGGAGAAGAATAAAGCTGTGGCGAATACAGATGCAACATTAATTAACAGACATGATAAATGTAAATGTTTTAGTAAGAATTTTAAAAAAGGGGGAAAAAATGTACTGACATGTCAAGCAGCCAGGAAATACTTTGGAAAGTTTTATTTTCTTGAAAATTTGACACTCTGCATTAGAATATATTGAGCTGAAATGCTAGGCAGCAAATTAAAGCAAAGGCCTTGTGTGTGCATCTATGCATTATTGTCCTGGTGTTGATGTTCACCTCAGCTGCCTTGCACTCACTTCCCTTATTTTTTCAATTTCCCGGACCAAGAGAATGAATTACTATTGCCAAAGAGAGAGGAGAAAAAGAAAGGGTGGGATGGAGAGAGAGAGAGGAAAAGGAGTTTTCATTTGTCTGCATTTCTCTCTCTCTCTTAACTTTTGCTTTGCATTCAGATAGATTCGGTGCTAAGAAATCCTCATTAATAAATAAAAGCAACCTTCTGACTCTTTACTGCTTTTGGTCCCAAAGAACATCAAAAGATTGTGCAAACCGAAAGTAAAACGCAATCAATTACCCAGCTCTCGGGATTATTTCACCAAAGCAATCGATTTACCTTCACCACTGCAGCCACCTTTCATTGGAAATATATCAGCTATTTAACAGCACACTCATAAAACAAGGTAACAAATTACCTCAACATTTCCTAGGGAATAACCTTTCAGTCGTTCACTAGAAGGAGACAGGTCAAAAAACACCCTTTTTCCTTTTTTTTTTAAACTTCAGTTTATATGATCTCTATTATACCTACAAGATATGTATTATAAAAAGAAGGGAATCCAACTGAAGATTTCATACCCTGGAATGTATGGCTTAGGTTTCAGTAAAAAGATAACTGCATCTTCAATGACTGCATAAAACCAGGATTGGCAGCTGTCACATCAACCTGCATTTCTACTTAGCAGCATGAAAGGAAATAGAATTCAGTAAGAAACAAGACTCAATTCACAAATGCAGGGTTTCCATCACTGAAGATATTCTATCCAGGTGTGATCCCAGAGGGAGTATATGTAGGACTTTGAGGGCTGACATTTTATCTTGACAAAATGAAGAGTTCTAAGTTTGACAAGGGACACTCCTTACCTAAGAAGGGAAGGTGATACTGTCTAAAATACCATATCCAAAATACTTAGTTCATTTCCTTGTCTTGCCACACATTTTTTGTTCTGTCAAATAGGAAAGTGATTCCTTTCCTTCCCTTCTCTAGGGGTAAGGCCACATCTTACTTTCACAATGTACCTAAAGAGACAACATTCTCTGTTGATATTGATGCCCTTCAGACACTTCGCATACTAGTAATTAGCAAATTATATTAACTTTTTTCAAAAGTGCTGAAAAACTTGGAATTGCCATTATCACTCAGCAAGTGACTCTGCAATGTTTTTTCTAATGTGTCTCTGGTTTTAGAAAGTTACATAACATCACACAGAAATTAAATAATTAACCTTTCATTTTAACCACTGATCCTTCTTTTTAACATTATTCAGTATCTGTCTTGTATTCCCATGGTCAGATATTCAAACTTAGCTTTAAAATTTAGCTTTAAAACTTATCTTTTCTGAGAAACCATAATGCTAGGGACTAGAACCTTTGTCACTGACACAGGTTTCTGTCAGGGAAATCCAACAAGGGGAATTCATTCAGGCAAACACAGTTATATAGAGGAGTATAAAAAATCCTAATATACCCAGCTGGACAGTCCAGGAGCCCCAAGTGCTGAGCAGCAGCTGCCAT